GAGTGCTGAATTGCCTTTTACATCCTAATGACTAAGATTATGTAGACAGATAGGACCTGATCCTAGATCAGCACTCCTACTCTGTGAAGCTTTATGAACACAGACCCAGATTAAGACATATGTCTTGCTGGTCATTAATGTGACCATTATGTTGCAGAAAAGGCCAGACAGAAAGGAGATTGTCACTAGCCAGTCTGTCTTTATAACCGTGGTATTCAAAGACACTGTAAAACTAAATGACGGGTACTATTACAGCATGTACAGTACAGGCCTAAAAACAATCTCTATTGTAAATCTTTACAATGCATCTAGTTCCATAATGTGTACTGTACTAACAGTAACAACCACACACACACACACACACACACACACACACACAGACACACACACACACACACACACACACACACACACACACACACACAGACACACACACACACACACACACACACACACACACACACACACACACACACACACACATACAGACTGACAGCATGCTGATTGTAACTACATCAGGAGTCACATACAGTGCATTTGGAAAGTAGTCAGACCCCTTGACTTTTTCCACATTTTGTTACGTTGCAGCCTTATTCTAAAATTGATTTTAATAGTTATTTTTTTCTCATCAATCTACACAGAATACGCTATAATGACAAAGCAAAAACATGTTTTTAGAAATGTTTGCTAATTTATCAAATAAAATAAAAAACGGAAATATCACATTTACATACGCATTCAGACCCTTTAATCAGTACTTTGTTGAAGCACAATTTGGCAGCGATTACAGCCTCGAGTCTTCTTGGGTATGATGCTACAAGCTTGGCACACCTGTATTTGGGGAGTTTCTCCCATTCTTTTCTGCAGGTCCTCTCAAGCTCTGTCAGGTTGGATGGGGAGAGTCGCTGCACAGCTATTTTAAGGTTGTTCGATTGGGTTCAAGTCCGGGCTCTGGCTGGGCCACTCAAGGACATTATCCCGAAGCCACTCCTATGTTGTCTTGGCTGTGTGCTTAGGGTCGTTGTCCTATTGGAAGGTGAACCTTCGCCCCAGTCTGAGGTCCTGAGCGCTCTGGAGCAGGTTTTCATCAAGGATCTCTCTGTACTTTGCTCCGTTCATCTTTCCCTCGATCCTGACTGGTCTCCCAGTCCCTGCCGCTGAAAAACATCCCCACAGCATGATGCTGCCACCACCAAGCTTCACCATAGGGATGGTGCCAGGTTAACTCCAGATGTGCATTCAGGCCAAAGAGTTCAACCTTGGTTTCATCAGACCAGAGAATCTTGTTTCTCATGATCTGAGAGTCCTTTAGTTGCCTTTTGGCAAACTCCAAGTGGGCTGTCAGGTGCCTTTTACTGAGGAGTAGCTTCCATTTGACCACTCTACCCTAAAGGCCTGATTTGTGGAGCACTGCAGAGATGGTAGTCCTGGAAGGTTTTGTGTGCCTTTCCAAATCATGTCCAATTAATTGAATTTACCAGGTGGGCTCCAATCAAGTTGTATAAACATCTGAAGGATGATCAATGGAAATGGGATGCAACTGAGCTCAATTTCGAGTCTCATAGCAAAGGGTCTGAATACTTATGTAAATAAGGTTTTAGCTTTGTCATTATGGGGTATTGTGTGTAGATTGATGTGATTTTTGTATTTATTTAATCAATTTTAGAATATGGCTATAACGTAACAAAATGTGGAAAAAGTCAAGGGGTCTGAATACTTTCCAAATGCACTGTATGTGATATTCTTTAGTGCTCATGATGTTTAGGGCAAGACAGGATAAAGTCCATCCATCCCATAGATAGAAAACAGGGGTTAAAGGAGGTAAAGATGAGTAGGTTAACAAGTTATCCATTAAACAAGTACAAGTACTTTAAAAAGAAAAGAACATCAACTCAGGGAACAGTGCATGAACAGGTGATAAGAGCGGACCCAAAAGTAACCAGAATATTAGAGTGTCAACAACATCATGTGTGTATACGGAGTGAAATATAAAAGGATGGACAGATGAAGGATTTCTAAATGGAATCTCAAGGGGTAGAGAGGTAGCCTTGTGGCTCTTGAGTATAGACTCTGTACAGCGGGTACTCTCTCTCTCTCTCTCTCTCTCTCTCTCTCTCTCTCTCTCTCTCTCTCTCTCTCTCTCTCTCTCTCTCTCTCTCTCTCTCTCTCCCCTCTCTTTCTATTTACATACAGTGCCTTCGGAAAGTATTCAGACCCCTTGACTTTTTCCATATTTTGTTACGTTACAGCCTTATTCTAAAATGGATGAAATAAAAAAAATCCTCAGCAATCAAAAGGTTTCTTGAAAATGTTGCAAAAAAAAACAAAAAAAACTAAATAGCTTATTTACATAAGTATTCAGACCCTTTGCTATGAGAAATTGAGCTCAGGTGCATCCTGTTTCCATTGATCATCCTTGAGGTGGGCGGCAGGTAGCTTAGTGGTTAAGAGCGTTGTGCCAGTAACCGAAAGGTCGCTGGTTCTAATCCCCGAGCCGACTAGGTGAAAAATCTGTCGATGTGCCCTTGAGCAAGGCACTTAACCCTAATTGCTCCTGTAAGTCGCTCTGGATAAGAGCGTCTGCTAAATGACCAATTATTTTTATTATTATTGATTGGTTCACCTGTGGTAAATTCAATTGATTGGACATGATTTGGAAAGGCACGCACCTGTCTATATAAGGTCTCACAGTTGACAGGGCATGTCAGAGCAAAAACCAAGCCATGAGGTCGAAGGAATTGTCCGTAGAGCGCAGAGACATGATTGTGTCGAGGCACAGATCTGGGGAAGGGTAAAAAATGTCTGCAGCATTGAAGGTCCCCAAGAACACAGTGGCCTCCATCATTCTTAAATGGAAGAAGCTTGGAACCACCAAGACTCTTCCTAGAACTGGCCGCCCGGCCAAACTGAGCAATCGGGGGAGAAGGGCCTTGGTCAGGGAGGTGACCAAGAACCCGATGGTAACTCTAACAGAGCTCTAGAGTTCTTCTGTGGAGATGGGAGAACCTTCCAGAAGGACAAACATCTCTGCAGCACTCCACCAATCAGGCCTTTATGGTAGTGGCCAGACGGAAGCCACTCCTCAGTAAAAGGCACATGACAGCCCACTTGGAGTTTGCCAAAAGGCACCTAAAGACTCTCAGACCATGGGAAATAAGATTATCTGGTCTGATGAAACCAAGATTGAACTCTTTGGCCTGAATGCCAAGCATCACGACTGGAGGAAACCTGGCACCATCCCTACGGTGAAGCATGGTGGTGGCAGAATCATGCTGTGGGGATGTTGTTCAGCCGCAGGGACTGGGAGACTAGTCAGGATCGAGGCAACAACCCCTAAGCACATAACCAAGACAACGCAGGAGTGGCTTCGGGACAAGTCTCTGAATGTCCTTCAGTGGCCCAGCCAGAGCCCGGACATAAACCCGATTGAACATCTCTGGAGAGACCTGAAAATAGCTGTGCAGCAACACTCCTCATCCAACCTGACAGCGCTTGAGAGGATCTGCAGAGAAGAATGGGAGATATTCCCCAAATACTGGTGTGCCAAGCTTGTAGCGTCATACCCAAGAAGACTGGAGGCTGTAATCGCTGACAAAGGTGCTTGAACAAAGTACTGAGTAAAGGGTCTGAATACTTATGTTAATTTGATATTTCAGTTTTTTTTTTTTTTTTTTATTAGCAAACATTTCAAAAAACCTGTTTTTGCTTTGTCATTATGGGGTATTTTGTTTAGATTGATGAGGGAATAAAACAATTTAATCAATTTTAGAATAAGGCTGTAATCTAACAAAATGTGGAAAATGTCAAGGGGTCTGAATACATTCCGAAGGCACTATATCTCTCTCTCTCTGTGTGTGTTAGGGCTGAGGGTGAGATGACAGGGAGAGGAAGTCTCTCAGGGATGTGAGTGAGTAAGAGGTTGGGAGGTAGTAATGGATGGAACCTGTATGCTGGTGACATGGAGTGGAGAAGGAGCAACAAAGTGGCGGAACATGAGAATGTAGTTGATTGTGGTGTGGGCTAGTAGAGGGAGTAACTACTACTTACCGTAGAAAAGTCGAAGCGATGATACCCTTTCGGAAACAAAAGTCTCTGTGATTTAATGGTCATCACTCAGTGAATGAATGAATTAAGGAATAATTACCATATTATATTAAAAGCCAGGGATTGTAAAATGAAACATATTTCACAATAGAGAGAACAGATACTGTAACATTTGAATTGTATTTTCTACTAAAGACAAACGTTTCATAATTGTATGCAATATAGGTTTTGCCCCTCTTATTACGATATAAAGTAGGGATGGCTACTTTGATGGGGGTGGGGCTACAAAAAAACGGAACTCATCATGAGGGGCCGCAATGGCTCGTATGTGACTCCTCAATTAATGACTTCACAATGTTAAAAGGGATATTCAATGTTTATTTTTGTATTTTTACCCATTTACCAATAGATGCCCTGGAAAATCTCCCTGGTCTGTGTGGTTGAATTGGAAAATCTCCCTGGTCTTTGTAGTTGAACTGGAAAATCTCCCTGGTTTTTGTGGTAGAATCTGTGTATGAAATGTGTTGCTTGACTGAAGGACCTTACAGATAATTGTACGTGTCGGGTACAGAGATGAGGTAGTCATTCAAAAATCATGTTGAACACTATTATTGAACACAGATTCAATAAGTGCATGCAACTTATGTGACTTGTTAAGCACATTGTTACTCCTGAACTTAGGCTTGCCATAACAAAGGGGTTAAATATTTATTGACTCAAGACATTTCAGCTTTTCATTTTTAATTAATTTGTAAACATTTCAAAAAACATAATTCCACTTTGACATTATGGGGTAGGCCAGTGACACAACATTTCAATTTAATCCATTTTAAATTCAGGCTGTAACACAACAAAATGTGGAAAAAGTCAAGCTGGGCCAGAGGTGCTGAACTAGAAGGACCGAGCAAGGGCGTCTTGTTGTCCCCTTCCAGACTTCCATCCTTCTTCTCCAGGCCTCAGTCGGTCAGCACCACCCAGCCACAGGCCCCCATGCAGGGCACGGCCAGGAGGAAGGGCACCACAGGCCCCAGGTGGAGCCACACAGCCAGCATGTTAGCCACCAGTCCGGCCCCCACCGCCAACCCGTGGTTCCAGCTAGCAGCCTTGGTGAAGGTACTAGGGATCCATTCTTTAGGGAAGTCGTGGCCGTCCACATGTCACTGCACGTACCAGGCCTCGAAGGCTGTGGAGAGCAGAGAGGTGGACAGGCATCCTGGCATGCGACCCAGGATCAGGACAAGGTAGTCCCGGGACAGCTTGGTAAGGCAACAGGCTGAGTAGGTCACGCAGAAGAGCAGGCAGGTCCGTCTCCGGCCCAGGACCTTAATTAATTAATGCACATTTTAAATACACATAGAGCTGCCTCAGTCATGGCAGTTCAACAATACATACATTGTAAAAAGTCTAACGCAGTGTTTCCCAATCCTGGTCCTGGGGACCTAAAGGGTTGCACATTATATTTTTTGCCCTAACACTAACAAACTCAGGTGTGTTAGTGCTTGGGAAAAAACATAATTGCACACCCCTTTGGGTCCCCAGGATTGGGAAACACTGGTTTAAGGACTTATTATTTTATTGGCTCTCGGATCATCGGTTCTCGGACCAACAGGCTCCGAGACAGCTTCTACCACCAGGCCATCAAACTGCTGAACGGCGAACGCTAGCTGTCTACCTGCTCAGACCTGCACCTTAGAGACTATTTGCATTGACTCTCCACACATCCAACAATAACACACAAGGGCACACACAAGCACACTCACAGTCAACGCTGCTGTTCTATTTATATACTATTTTACTGAACTGCGTGCCCAAGACACTATTGACTTTATATTTGTAAATACAGTCATACTTGACATAGCACATTCATAATTTATACTGAATATCCTATTGTGTATCTATCAGTTTTATTACTAAAATGCATACTACTTTCTTCTACTACTTGTTATTTTTTATTTAATTATTGATACTTCACTGTTGACGAAGCTTGCAAGTAGGCATTTCACTGCATCATTTATACCTGCTGTAAACTGTGTACTGACGAATAAACTATTTTATTTTATTTATTTTATTGTGGTCCTGGTTATTGTACCTGAGTGAGCCGGCTGGCCACGGGGGCAAACAGCACACAGGATGCCAAGTGACAACGACATATCAGGAATGGCTTATATGGAGCCAGGTCTGGAACTGACGGTAGAGGTTGTAGAGGTTTTGGGCCCTGTAGCCAGTCAACAGGGCCCAAAGGGTAGGAGGTAAGCCTCAGAGGAACAGGGTCGACCACGGGGGCAGGGTTGGGTCCCACGGCAAAAAGGGGGTGAGTAAGGTTGGAGGTAGTAATGGATGGAACCTGTTATGCTGGTGACTGGAGTGTGAGACGACAACAAGTGGCGGGAACAAAATTATTGGATTTGGTGGTGTGGGGGGCTAGTAGAGGGAGTAACTACTACTTACCGTAGAAAGTCGAAGCGATGATACACCCTTTCGGAAACAAATTCTCGTATTTAATGGGTTCATCACTCAGTGAATGAATGAATTAAGGAATAATACCAGAGTATATTAAAAAGCCAGGGATGTAAAATGAAACATATTTCACAATAGAGAAAACAGATACTGTCCATTTGAATTGTATTTTCTACTAAGACAACGTTTCCTAATTGTAGCATATAGGTTTTGCCTCTTATTACATGATAAAGTAGGGATGGCGAACTTTGATGGGGGGGGGGTGGGGCACAAAAAAACGGAACTCATCATGAGGGGCCGCAATGGCTCGTATTACCCTCAATTAATGAATCACAATGTAAAAGGGATATTCCATGTTTATTTTTGTATTTTTACCCATTTACCATAGATGCCCTGGAAAATCTCCCTGGTCCTGTGTGGTTGATTTGGAAAATCTCTCCCTGGTCTTTGTAGTTGAACTGGAAAAGCTCCCTGGTTTTTGTGTAGAATCTGTGTATGAAATGTGTTGCTTGACTGAAGGACCGTACAGATAATTGTACGTTTCGGGTACTAGTGAGGTAGTCATTCACAAATCATGTTGACACTATTTGCACCAGATTCAATATGCATGCAACTTATTTGACTTGTTAAGCACATGTTACTCCTAACTTAGCTTGCCATAACCGAAGGGGTTAAATATTATGGCTCACGAACATTTCAGCTTTTCAATTTTTAATTAATTTGTTAAACATTTCAAAACATATTCCACTTTGACATTATGGGGTTGGCCAGTGACACAACATTTCAATCTTTAATCCATTTTAAATTCAGGCTGTAACACAACAAAATTTGGAAAAAAGTCACGCTGGGCCATAGAGTTGCTGAACTAGAGGGACCGAGCAAGTGCGTCCTTGTTGTCCCCCTTCCAGACTTCCATCCTTCTTCTGCCAGTCCTCAGGTCGGTCAGCACCACCCAGCCCCCAGCGCCACCATTCGGGCAAAACGGCCCAGGAGAAGGGCACCACAGGCCCCAGGTGGAGCCACCACCGCCGCATTTTAGTCCACCAGTCCCGGCCCCCACCGCCAAACCCGTGGTTCCAGCTCGCAGCCTTGGGGAAGTACTAGGGATCCATTCTTTAGGGACGTCGTGGCCCGTCCACATGTCCACTGCACGGCCAGGCCTCGCGCTTGTGGCAGCAGAGAGGTGGACAGGTCCTGGCATGCGCCCTCCCAGGATCAGGACACGGTAGTCCCGGGAACATGCTTGGTAAAGGCACAGGCTGAGTCGCTCCACGCAAAGCGCGCCAGGCGTCCGTCTCCGTCCCAGGACCTTACTATAATTAACAAATGCAACATTTTAAATACCTATAGCTGCCTCAGTCCATTGCAGTTCAACATACCAATACATTGTAAAAGTCGAACGCATTGTGTCCCAATCCTGGTTCCTGGGACCAACAGGGTTGCACATTATATGGTTTTTGCCCGACACGAACAAACTCAGGTGTGTTAGTGCTTGGGAAAAAACATAATTGCAACCCCTTTGGTCCCAGGATTGGGAAACACTGGTTTAAGGACTTATATTTATTGCTCTCGGATCAATCGGTTCTCGTACCACAGGCTCCGAGACAGCTTCTACCACCAGGCCATCAAACTGCTTGAACGGCCGAACCTAGCGTCTACCTGCCAGACCTGCCCTTAGAGCCTATTTGCATTGACTCTCCACACATCCACAATAACACACAAGGGCACACACAAGCACACTCACATCAACGCTGCTGTCTATTTATATACTATTTTACTGAAACTGCGTGCCCAAGACCCTATTACTTTATATTTGGAATACAGTCATACTTACATAGCACATTCATAATTTATACTGAATATCCTAATTGTGTATCTATTCAGTTTTATTACGAAATCGACTACTTTCTTTCTTCTACTACTTGTTATTTTTATTTAATTATATTGATACTTCACGGTTAACGAAGCTTGAAGTAGCATTTCACTCATCATTTCTACCTGCTGTAAACTGTGTACGTGACGAATAAACTATTTTTTTATTTTACATTTTTATTTTATTGTGGTCCTGGTTATTGTTTACCTGAGTGAGCCGGCTGGCCACGGGGGGCAAAACACGCACCAGGACTCAGGACAACGACATACGTATGGCTACTGGACTCCAGGAAGCTGTACTTGCGGTATATCTTGTAGAGGTTTGGCCCCTTAGCAGTCACAGACAAGGCTAGGAGGTAGCTCAGAGGACAAGGGTCTTGAACCCCTACGGAAGGCAGGTGTGGTTCCACGGCAGAGGGTTTGGTTAGGTGGTGGTTCGGCTACGTGCCGTGGCTCCAGACCGATGCTAGCGCCATTAGGACTCGCCGATGGCCAGGTTGGCCTCCACCAACATGATTGGTTTTGTCCAATGGTGACTGTTAGGGGGGGGAGGTCTCTTCCCTCCTGTCTTATCCGTTGTGGCCACTCAAAGCGCTGCGGAGACAGAGACTCCTATTACTAACATCACCAGAAAGACAGTATGGTGAAAATCTACCAAATAAATAACTTAAAGCCAAGGTTATGTAAAAGTGGCATCCTACTATCCATCTAAAGAAGATGTTTGCTTGGTTGTCATCTCATCTGGATACTGCTGCATGAGATATACTGCAATCAAAAGCAAACGTTTTATGGGTCGTGTACAAATTTATGGTGTTTGCCGCGTTCCCGTCATGTCGGGAAACTTCGGGACCCTCAGAGTTCAACTGAATGTAAATTATTTGCGTAGAGGCTTTCTATTGGTTGATTCTGATAACTCCCAATTGTAAACTCGGTATCATCCGACTCTTGCTCCTAGGTTAGCAAATCCTACGTTTCTGAGTTCCTACATTACGTAATTGGCCTTATAGCAGGTGCAGGGAGCGAATACTTACCTTGTTTGATAGTTTCAAAGGCGTAAAATCAACTAAGTTCTGGCATGTAGCAACCTCATTGGAATCCAAGAAATAATAAAAAATGGATACACCATGTTAACAAATTTTTGTACGTTTTGCTTGCTTCCACAAGAATCGGCTAAGCCGCTAGCATAAGCTTTGGCAGTTACGGTACGCTTATTTTATAACCTTCTTCAACCACCTGCATCTTTCCAAACATCCACTGAGGATTTTGTTGTACTGGAGTGCTTGACTAAAAGCCGATATATTGCTTGCTCTGGAATGTGGTAAGAGGGTGTTACGCAAATTGCGAGCCAGGGCACACTCGAACACTCTCAGACATCAGTTACAAACGAATATGTGTTGGTCTTGTTTTGTACGCTCTTTGTACAAAATAAATAAAATGCAGGACTACAGGAATTTAAAACGTACAGCTCTTTATTAAACTAGCTATAAACGTTGCATGTCCATGTTCTCTGGCCATGAATCACTTAGAATGACCTCACCACCTTGGTGTCTTTAAATTACCATCATTGCACAGTATGTGCTGCAATTACAATTCGTAGGTACCACATATAATATGACATCCCCCTTCTTTTAAAAAAAAGAAAAATAGGTGGACATAAAGCTTTCGTTGATATCTGCGCTGTAGTTTGAACTCGAGGTAATTAACCATTAAAAAACTGCAACCAACTTGCACATCAACAGTAACAACAAACATGAGGCAGCATAATTGTTCTTTTTAGATCAAATTTTCTCACAACCCCGTTTCACTGTAGCAATGACATCTCAACATATCAAACAAATACAATACCAAGCATTTCCAAGTTACATTCAATACAAGTTTACAGTCTGGAAACTACTCTTTTAGGTTAGGGCAAGCGATCCGCTACCCTACACCCTTTGACTTTCACAGTCTAGAACAGCTCTAAGGCGTACTCTCTTCCTGCCCTTGTGTGATATGAAGCTGAGCATGCTTCTTCTGTGCAGTCAACAGTTCTTGTGGTGTTGCAGGTTAAGATGATGGGTGTATGTTTTGTGTTGTGTCTGTGTTTTATATAGTCCACATCCCGTCTCTTTTCGGGAACAGTTCATCTCGTCAGTGTTGTTGTTCTTCTTTTTGTGTTCAAGTAGGTGACGACGATTGCGGCGGTACACCGCGCCTTTGTTCCTTCCTTCGGTCGGTTGCGAACTGAATAAACGTCCTGGTCCAGCTGTTTGGAATGACGACTGGCTGCTTCCGTAAGCCAGGCTCCCTGGATTTCTAAAAACTGACTTCTCCCGTTCAGAGACAGTGGTTGCAGAGTGGGGTCTGGCTGACCTGCTGTCGTAGTATCGCTTTTGCTGCTGCTGTCTCTTGTGCACGTTTTGCAATGCACTTCCTTGTAGCTGACGACCTCAGGTTGCAGCTGCTGGTTGGTGCTGGGTGAAGGATTGATCGAAAAGTCCTGCGGCTGGTCTCATCACCAGCTTGGGCTGTGATTTGAAGGTTGTTCAACTGTGCGTGTTGCGGGTATTCAAGGAGACTGAGGTAAGGGGTCTCTCGTTAGTCTTGCTTTTGCTTTGTCCCTGGAGTGATTTAGGCGATTCTGCCCCAGATTTTTCGAGCAAGGCCAAATTACTTTGATGGTCAATGTTGGGGCTGTGGTGACGTGTGTGAAACAACACTTCCCATGCTTTTTTGTGAAGGATTTCAAACTCATTTGATTTGTAACAGGGCCCATTGGCATATATTAAAGTCTCTACAAACAGAATTCCCATGCCCTGGCAAAGGCTGCTTCAAGCTTGTGCTCACCGCTTGCAGATGTGGTGCTTTAAGCTTGTCGAGGTTTCGAAGTATCTGCTGTAGTAGTCCACTGTTATAAATGTATTCCTCGTTGTTCCAACGTGAACAGATCGTTTGCCACGGACCTTCCAGGTCGGTCTGGATGACGGGTGAGTAACATTGGCTCTTGTGGTGTTTCAGAGGGCGGGGTCGTTACGTTTCAAGACAGGTGGTGGCAATTTACCACCATGTCCTCTATTATTTGTTGTTGCACATTCCGGGCCAAAACAAAAATGTCCCTTGCTCTCTGTTTGCACCATTTTCCCTGCCCATGGTGTCCAGCCATGGATCTTTTGTCAAAAAAAAAATCTCTTCTCTGAGAACTGTAGGAATGAGGAGTTTCCTCTTTCCCTCCCTCCTCCTTTTTGAACATTTATCCGTTTAATCTGTGATAGTTTCGTCACGGATGGTTCGCAGAACTCTGAGACGCTTCTGAGGCATTTTCTCTCTCCTCTAGGCCATCCTGACTGTAAATGAACTTTCCTCAGGCTGTGTGAGTTTGTTTGTTTTTTCTGTTTCTGCTCGGAATCTCCCTCTCCTTCAGTTTTGTGTCCCTACAACTGTTAGTTGCTGTACACAGTGTGCAACCTTCATGTCCCTCACAGCCCTTCACTAGGCCTTGCTGGTCCTGGTAGGTAATAAACAAGAAACTTCCTTGAGAGTGTGTCTGCGACAGGATGTCTTTGCCTGGACGTGAGTGATTGGGAAGTCTTATTTTTGTAGTTGAAGGATCCATTCTCTGTAGCCCTTGTCGGGGCTTTGCGGCTAACGGTTTCCTCATGCTTGACGTCGAGGGGCTGGTGGTCTGATTTCCCCACAATGACTTTCGTCCCTAAGACATACTGCTGGAAAAGCTACGCTTTACAAAAAAATCCGAACAGAATGGCGTACAGCTATTTTCGATTTGAGCGTAAGTTATTTCACGTCTGTGGAGAGTTTTGGAAGCGTAGCCGATGGGTTTTCCTTCTTGCAGTAGCCCGTCGTCCCCTAGTCCATACTTTTGACCTCTCCACCTGGAGTCCCTGGAGCTCCTTTGTTGGGGTCATTAGTAGGCAAGGATTGGTCTGGTTCTCTCATATCAAGTCCTTTTCTTTCACTTTCTGGAAAGCGATTGCCGTGTTGGTTTGTCCCCGGAAACTACTGGACTGCTTTAGCGCTGACGCCGGGGTGCATTACATTGAGGGAGCTGGGGTTTTGCTAACTTGGCTAAGTATTGAACACCAATTCCATACACGTTTGTTCCGTCGTTTTCCAGCTCTGGCGCGGTTCTTTGGTGGCTTTCTCCATTTCCTTTATGTCTGAGATCTTCGGCGGATTCTGGCTTGATTCCATTTTCGGCTCTGTTAGAAGATTCCCGAAGTAAGCTGACCCTCTGTAAGGCGCCGACCTGTGCGTCTCTCTGTGTTGAGCCGGACTCCTCTCCTCTCGCATGGTACTCTTTTTGCGAAATCCATCGCGCTGAGGTTTCCTTTCTGGTCCGTGTTCCTCTTTGGTTTTCGCCAAGACAAGGCATGTCGTCCACAAATGCCCAATTGCCACGACTTACTTCGTCGGATGCCTTCGGACACGTCCCTCGTCGATCTTTTCTTGCAATGAAACTATCGTCTTGGGCTGATATAATTTCCCGCAAAAGCAACAAGGCTACTGAACCTGTTTATCGTCCAACGGTGTGTTTAACGTTGTGAGCTTAGATTTGACTCTTCTGTGAGCTTTAGATCCCAGTAGCCGGATCTGGCGTCCCACATGAAAACCTGAAATACGTTGGCGCCCCGCCTAAACTTGTGTGTGCTGCCGTCCTAGCGTCGAGAAGTGGGTAATGGTGGGGGAGGTGGCTAGCGGTCGGTAAGGGGTAATAATGTGGGGGCGTTGAAATAGCCTTGTTTCCAAGTCTCTTTGGGGTCGAACTGAATCTGAGCTTGCCTGTTCCGTGGTTTCTTCTCCCTCCACCACCACTAACCCACTAACCGTTGTGACCCAATCCCTTCGATTCTCTGTAACCTTGGTGACGATGTCCAGATTGCTTCCATGCTCTCCAACTCTTTCTTCAGAGAGACGGGCGCGGAGATCAAGTGGAAACTTTCTCGGTGGGTAGATCACCAGGGGTTGCGTCTGGGTTAGGTGAATGGTAGCTTCTCTCTCCTGGAATAGTCCTATTCCCTTAAAAACAACAATCAATCGGCAAACTACTCCTCGCCTCCATGATGACAATTCCCTCTACCTACTACTGGTGCTTTGTCCCTGAAAACTAGCTTGATAAATGTCCATGTCTAAAATGGTCTCAAATGGCTTTATACAAGACCTAGCACTGAACTTTCTGCAGTGCTCGACGCAGAGTGTCCAACATCAACGACGTAACAGTCCAACATCATCATGGGCCCTTTCCCTTTTATTTGATTTTAGAGTGCATGTGCCTTTTACTGGGAGCGTTCACCACCCATAACCGTCAGTCTGGGGGCGTGGTGGGCTGTAGCTCACCTCAGTGTCAACTTCGTACTTACTCAGAGGGGAAAAAATGTTTACTTGGGCCCATGTCAGTTTAATTTTACTCTGTTTCCTTTCTTCCTATCTCAAGTCACAAAGGCTTGTCTTCTCTGATTCTACTTTTTTTTTGTTCATGAATCAAAAAACAGTTCACACAAAATTTTACTCTTTGATTGACATTATTCTTTCCCCACTGTATGTATGTTTTTTTCCCCGGTAAAATTCTGCACACTTTTGCAAAATGGGTTCCAATTTTCCCATTTAGGGACCGTTTTTTTTACGGGGGGGGGTTTTTCCCCCTTTTCCCTTGCATTTTCCCACAATATTCCCCCATGTTTTGGGGGCGTTTTGGGTTGTGTCGTTTTGTTTTGGAGTTCTGTTGGGTTTCTCCGTTCTAAAAATGCTCTGGGCACTGGAAAATGTGCTTTGAGTCTCCTGCTGCGTGCACTCCTTTTTTTCAAAGGGGGTGCGTCACTGCCCCTTGGGTATTTTATTTCCTTCTTTCCCAATTTCCCCCTTTCCTCTTTTTAAAAAGTTTTCTTTTTTTTTTTTTTAAACGATAAAACTTTTTAAAAAAATTTTTTCCCCCTTTTCCCTTTATTAAATTATGTTTCCCAAATTTTTTAAAACCCTTTTTCCCCCGGGGGAAAAATTTTTTTGGGGCCTTTTTTCCCCCCCTTTTTTGGGGGGGAAAAAAATTTTTTGGGGGTTTAGGGGGGGGCCCCCCCGGGGCCGGGGGGGTTTTCGTTTTTTTCGGGGGGCCCTTTATTGGGGGGGTTTTTTGTTTTTTCTTTCCCCAGGGGTTTTTGGGGTTTTTTTAAATTTTTCCTTTTTCCAAAGGGTTGCCATGTTTTTTTAATTTTCCTTTTTTCCCCTTTTTTTGCCGGGGGGCCGGTCTCCGG